TTTTTTTTTTTAAATCAAACTGTGCAAGTCTCATTTCTTTCTACATCACCATCAGGGGGATCTTTGGTGATTGTAGTTGTATCATTATCTGATTATCTACTCTAAGTCCATTTTGTAGATGAGGAAACTGAGACTTGGTGAGATTTTTAAAAAGATACAGTTAGTTAATTAGAGGCAGAAGAACTAAGGTGTGATACCAGAGTTCCAATCACATAGTAAGCTCTCAGTAACATTTTACTGCCTGAATGTGTGTCCCCAGAACCTATATATCCTACTATTTACCCAAGACTCTCACAGAGCCCGAAAGTTCAATGAGAAGTTACACAGATGTTTGAGTTACAACGAGCTAAATCTTGCAGAACTACTCCCACTCAGGCAAGCTCTTAGAATTGTATAGAATATTCTCTAAGAGCCTCAAAGTGGATTCTTATGTATGTGTCAGTTCAGATCCACTGGTTTAAAGTCATCCTGGCTGTGCTAAAGCTGATTTGGCTTCTGGATTTGAGGGTGGGGCTGTGCTAAGGGCGAGGATCACTTGGCTGGTTGACATGGCATGATGTCTATACACAGAATCGAGTCATCCATTTGCTCAGGGACATCCTAGCATACTGACTAGTATGTGTGTGTGTGTGTGTGTGTGTGTGTGTGTGTTAAGATTTATTTATTTATTTTAGAGAAAGAGAGAGAACATAAGTGGGAGGGACAGAGGGAGAGGGAGAGAGAACCTCAGACTCCCTGCTGAGTGTGGAGCCTGACGTGGGGCTCGATCCCATGACCCTGGGATCATGACTTCAGCCAAAACCAAGAGTAGGACACTTAACCAACTGTGCAACCCAGGTTCCCCATTCTGACTATTGTTATGGCTATCGGTTGTCTATCTCTGAAACCTGAAACATGTATTACCTGATGATATTTTCAGAAGTTAACTTAAATTACCTACTCATAGAATCAGGGATGGGAGAGCTTCATGATCAACTTAATGTCAAGAAAAACTTTTAGGGCCATTTTGATTTTGTATTTCAGTCTCTTTCTCTTGCCTCAAAGACATTCACTAGTTGAATTTGTGAGACCCTATATTCAGATTCTCAGTTGTCCATTTTCTTTCTCTCTTTTTTTTTAACTACCTTTATTTTTTTTTTTAAGATTTTATTTATTTATTTGAGACAGAAAGAGAGAGCAGGGAGAAGGGCAGAGGGAGAAGCAGACTCCCTGCTGAGCAGGGAGCCCGATGTGGGACTCGATCCTGGGACTCTAGGATCATGACCTGAGCCGAAGACAGACGCTTAACTGACTGAGCCACCCAGGCCCCCATCCATTTTCTGTCTCTTAACTCATCCTAAGAACAGGAAAGATGCTCAAGAAGGATGCAGCAAGAGGACACATGTTTCCTCTCGCTCCTCTTTGGTCTCCCCACCAGTGCCCAGTGCACCCATTGTAATTTACAGCCACATTTCCCATGTAATCAGTGAAATCACTGCATGAGAGCTGATGTTTCATAACACCCACTAGGAAGCTGCATTGATATTCATAACCAAACCCGAAACATTCAATGAAAATCTTAGGGACATTAAAAGAATCCTTTATATTTAATTTCTTCTCTTATCACGAACATAAATACAGATGTTTATACCAGTATTAAGAAATTTATAAAAATATTTCCTCTAGACTGGAGAATCTTTTCTATGCAAAATAATTGAAGAAAATGTGGAGCAACCTGGGATGTGCATGAATTGTTATTTCGTGCTTAGGGAAAAGTCATTCTCAGAAGCACACATGTCTTTCTGAGGGGAAAGGAACCTAGATGATTCAGACCAGGAATGAGTGCTAACTCTCCAAACTGCTACCCTTCTGCACAATTATTGAGGATAATATGCGTAAGGCTAGAGTTGCACTTTCTCCTGATCCTGTCCCCTAATTACTAGGGGAGTTTAAGATCTTTTTACAATGTAATATTTCCCCCCCTCCCTAGACTCTGGTTTAATCTGCAGTGGATTGAAGATGAGTTGGCGGGATCACACAGATAATTTCTTTTTTTAGGTAGTACCTGTTAAAAAACGGTTATTTCTACTACACTGCCAGCAGTTTATATGGAATGGCCATTACTTTGTTCTATTATAGGAAATTTCCCCAAAACTGAGAGAATACAATTCAATAAAATAACCGTCATGCTATGGTCATGTTAACCTTTGTGATTAATGTAAGAACATGGCATGAAATCACATTTAAGTAAGAGAATAATTAACTGCCACCAATCTCTAAATTTGACATATGTTGCTCTTTTGTTTTTTAAATTTTTTCCATCCAATATATGCTAGCTTCTGATTTGGGGAGTTTTATCTCTAGGCTTTTGAGGTGGGGTTATTGGAATTGTAGAAGTGTATTATTGTTTAGAAGGCGTCTGTTGCGTAACTTAGGAAGGGACATCCTGGGTAGACTCTAGGTTTAAAGTGGGAGGAAGAGAGGAGGTTCAGGCTTCCATTACTTTAGACTCATAAGAAGTTCCTGAAGTTTTTCCTCGAGAATGGGCCTTGGGCCATGTTTGGTAAGAGAGGCTTAAGATGGTTAAAGACAGTTAAACTAGGTGCTTGTTAAAAAATGCAGATTCTAGGTCCCAGGCCAGGATTCTGCAAATCCCTCAGCTGAGAATCAGCACTTTTTTCCTGAGCACCCCAGGTGGTTCTGAAGAACATGATAATTTGAGAATCACAGCTAAGTCCCTTTTAAAAATGAGTAACAGGAGAGAACATGCCGCCGACTATTCACACTCATCCTCCTATTTCTCTAAGTTCTAATATTCTGAATAAATCATGACTTCTTACTGTGATCATTTCTGTATTTTCAGTGATAGCCTTTCTCTTTTTTATTCATTCTGGAGAATAAGAATAAAAATTGCAGACAGTGACAAAATATTTTCTCACCTATTGAGTTGTCACTGGACTTTTCTTAGGACTAATGGATGTCATGACAACGTCAATTTTAGTAGTTAAGGTGAAGCTTTAGGTCTTGGGTTAATCTTAAATGGCCCCACTATCTATGGCTTAGGCCCTATTGGGGTATTTAGGACATGAGGCCTGGGTCACAGCATATATTCATTGAGTTTACAATCTCATCTGTTGACAATGATGCCAGTGGGGTTATTACCTGGTTCTGCTACCAAATGGCATTAGACGCTTCCTTTCATCTCTCTGAGGTAGCCACCTGTAAAAGTGGGGAAAGTAACACCTATTTCTAAGGTTGTGAGGATTAGCAAATGTCTATAAACACTTTTCACTGTGCCTGGCACAGAAAATGTGCTCAGCTTGTAGCAATTTCTTTAGTTGTTATAATGGAGGAGAAATGCTAGAAGGCTGAGGTGAGGTTACCATGAAGTGCCAACTTTTTGGAAAAGTTTGGTTTTCCCTGTATGTACAATTCAGTTTTCCTGTGCCCTGGTGTCCATGAGGAAGACCCTTAATGGCCTTGGGATGGTCTTCGGTCTTTGGGATGTTTGAGGAGGGACAGGGTTGGGATAGGTGGATGATGTTAGAATGCATTGAGGGCTGAGGTGAGAGCCACTCAGGCCAGCAGTTACAGAAGAGTCTCTTCCAGGGAACCCTCTGACTTTTCCTGGACTCAGTGTGGTCTCACTTGTGTCCTTACGTGGTCTCATATGTGTCTACTTATGACAGCACACTTTCTGTAACTACTGAAAGTGAAACTTTTTTTTTTAAGATTTTATTTATTTATTTGTCAGAGGGAGAGTGAGCAGGGGGAGCGGCAGGCAGAGGGAAGAGCAGGCTCTCCGCTGAGCAAGGAGCCCAATGTGGGATTTGATCCCAGGACCCTGGGATCATGACCTGAGCCGAAGGCAGACGCTTAACCAACTGAGCCACCCAGGCGCCCCTGAAAGTGAAGCTCTTGACACGAGAAACCAAATGACTGTTGCTTTGGCTATTGCTTAACCACACCTTTGTTTACTACATCCACAAGTATCTGGTTGTAAGTCAAAGACACATCAGACAATGTTTACATATATTTTGGGGTAGCTATTTATAGACAAATAAGGCTTTGAACTTCAAGACTGATGTATGAGGAGTGCTTAGCTCTTAGTTTTACTTTTTCTAGTAAAGTGACTTACAGATTTGAGGACTAGGTTCTCAGATCAGTGCCTCCAGAAGTGGTAGCATTTTTCTGTTTCATGAAATGAAGTCTTTCTCTGTGATTTTAGCTCAGCAGTTTAAACTGAAGGGACACATGATTTGTATTCTATATCACACATGTTTCTGAATACTTTCAAGTGGGTTAACATTCTCAACTGTGGACTAAGAGGAAGTCAGTAGGTAATAGTAAGGGACTGGGGAGAAGTTTGGAGTAGGGAAGCACCTTAGGTTTTCATGAAGTGAAATAAACATTTGAAATTCAGCAGTGGTAGTGACATTCTTAATGGAAAGGGCCTGAGCTTAGGCATCTATTGACCATGTTTGTATGCTGGTCCCACTTGTGTCCCTAGCACTTCACTTGTGATGGGTCTTAGGGAAATTAACTTCTCAGTTTTCTCATCAGAAAGATGTGACTAATAATACCTGCCACTTAGAGTTGTTTTCAGGATACATTATGTATTTATCACGGATCACAATGCCTCGCATTTGGTAGGCACTCAATAAATTATAGCTGTTGTTATAAGTAGTAAGACTATTTAATTATTTTATCAGTAAATGCTATGCAGGTCTGCCAAGTTGGGAAAAGTTTGAGGGCAGAAATGGTGTTAGAGTCTTGGTCTATAAAATCCTGGGTGAAGGTTGCAGGGCGACTCCCCAAGTGGGGAGACGGGTAGCTGTACGAGTGGCTGTGGACTAATGCAGTCTTTCTCCCTGCCCTGCCATGCAGGATGTGGACAAGTGGTCCTTTGATGTCTTTTCTCTCAATGAGGCCAGCGGGGATCATGCACTGAAATTCATCTTCTATGAATTACTCACACGTTATGATCTGATCAGCCGTTTCAAGGTCAGTGCCTACTTTTAAAAAATGCATGCATTTTTCCTTTTTTGAAGATTTTATTTATTTATTTTAGAGAGAGAGAGAGCGAGCGAGAGAGCAGGAGTTGGTGGGAGTGGGGGAGGCAGAAGCAGACTCCCCACTGAGCAGGGAGCCCAATACGGGGCTCGATCCAGGGACTCCAGGATCATGGTCTGAGCTGAAGGCAGGTGTCCAGATGCCCCACATTTGTCCATCCTTCCATGACTTTTGGGGTAAGACCAAGACCATCCTTCCATGACTTTTGGGCTAAGACATCCTTTTAATATAGACTGAAAACTGTTATAGGTGACTTGGGAAGATTCATCCAGACAGCCACTGCCCTGAACTCCGTGGTGGTGGGAACTTTTCCTTAAGCCCTTGCCGGGTGGGGCTCATAGCAGGTGAGAGAGGTTGGAACCACCCCAGTTGGATCCCAGTCTTCCTAGAAGTACAGCCCGAAGTGTGGACTAGCGGAACTCCTGAATGGCTCTCCCCGCAGATCTCATTTCAGCCTGATTTGGTGTACTGTCGATCACTGCTGGCATGGAGACAGTAATGGAGACAGAGTGTGCATCTGCTGTCTCTGCAGACTTTTTTTTCCACCACTTGGCTCAAATTCAGACAAATGCTCTCACTTATCATCCGTGACAGATCATCAGTATTTCCCAGCCATTCATGCTTCAAATTAATTCTTCAACTTTAAGTAAAGAGCATGAATTGTTTTCAGTGTTCAATCCCCTCTGCTTTGTAATACCATGGACTCTAGAGGTCCAGCCAGATTCTCCAGGGAATCTGTGCATTCATCTGGTGACATCTATTGTATCATGCTCCTCAGAGTTCTCTCATCATGGGGATGAGCCCCTGGAAAATGCAGGGTTTTTTGAATATAAGGTATTGATTTCTCTAGACAGCACGGTTCTTTATCACTTTCCTATGGACTGTGTACTTGGGGGCATATTTCCTACATAGCCATAAATACTTTATGGCAGTGGTTCTTAATTTCTTTGTGCAGAAATCGGCCTGAAAATCTGGTGGATGCTCAGGACCCTTTCCACAGAACAAAACTCTTGTGCACATATGCACACCTTTACCTAGCATTTTCGTGTCTCATGGATCTCTCATGAACAGCCCAAAGAACCTGGGGTTATTGGATATTCATTTTAAAAACTGATAGTGAATTAATCTCTGGCATATGAGGCAATATTTAAATTTTTAAGAATCCACAAATGGTAAATATAGAAGGATCTACTCAAGGAAGAACATCTTATAGGCTCTCATGAAGCATTACAGTAAAGTATTTTCCTTATATTTTTTTCTTCCTGACGTGATTATTGGTCTCCTGGAACCCACGCTCTCTCTTTTTACCCCAGGGTTGTATTTGGTAATTAACCCTAAACCAAGGAATTAACCCAGAAAAGAAATACAATGAATGTTTTCAGGGTCTCCTTCTTTTGTACAGACATTTTGCAGTTGTTCTTTATTTTCTGCCACATAGAAAATGAAGGTATGTATATTATACATATTTGAGACAGAACAGGAATTAGGCTACAATTCCAAATTCCAATGCAACGATAATAAATTGCCAAGTAATAGACATAAGAACGCAGTCTGTTTCTGTTCTTATATATAACAGGCTATCACATGTTTTGTTTTGTGTTTTCTCCGTGTGTCCAGCACATACAATCATTTCTCCTAAGGGCACAGTTTTCAGGAGGTGGCAGTTTGTGTTTGTTTTGCAATCATTTTACAACTTAAGATCCTTATGTACTTTATGTTTTCCCACAAAATAAATGAAATGTGCTACACAGTATGTATCCATTTATTTCTCAAGAAATAAAAGACTTGAACCTTTGCTTGAGAAATAGGTGAACACATACCCTTCTGCCCTAAATATCTTTGAGACAATTCTGGGGTTCTGGACTGAGAACAACAACAACAACAAAAACAAAAACAATTTGCAGGGCAGACTGTTCTTAAACCAGGGACTTCCTGTGAGATTTTCAAATCATCTGATAATTCCTTCAGTAGTTTTAACTAATTTTTAAAAGTTCTGATTTTTTCATGTGCCATGTTATGCTCCCAGAAAGAGGCAGCTCGAGTGCCTTAGACTTGTGCTTCCTCACTGAAAGCTACCAAATCACTGGCTACTTAACCTTACTGCTCTCTTTCAGATCCCCATTTCTGCCCTTGTCTCATTTGTGGAGGCCCTGGAAGTAGGATACAGCAAGCATAAAAATCCGTACCACAATTTAATGCATGCCGCCGACGTTACGCAGACTGTGCATTACCTCCTTTATAAGACAGGGGTAGCGGTAAGTACTGATAGGAACTCTTAGATTACACAAAAGATGTGATGATGGTTCTTTTTACTGAAGGCTGTTCCTATTCTGATGAGGTTGAGCCCACAAGAAGTGCATTGGTGCGTGGACTTCCTGCTCCCCAAGAGTTGTCTAACCAATCACCGAAGGTCTTGGGGTTCCTTATGGCCTCTGATATTTTCTCCATCCTGGACTTGATGAAATAAATATGTGGTAGTGACTTGCATCTTTATTAGGCTATGACCATATTTTAAATATGATTTCTAGAACTAAGTATGTATTTCCAGATGTGGAGAGTGGTACTATTAACCTCTTGCTGTGGTCAATCACAATGGTATCCATGCATGCTGAAATCATATCAAGTATGCCTGGCGACCACACTGCACACAGGTAGCTTTTGGTTTAAACCATTTGATATTTTTCATGAGGATTATTGATTATTCTCATCGTATGTATGTGTGTTCAATTTGTTTGACCTCAGGAGCAATCTTCACTTCTAATCATTTGAAATTTTTCTTACTTGTTTTGACCCAACATTTCAGCTCTTTAGATGTTTTTGAAACCCTGTTCTGTAATCCATTGTATGAACTGGCCTGTTTAACTTGGTTATCTCTGCCTTTGCCCTCTTTGCCTTGACGAAAGCTGTTAATTTTGCAAGATAGAGCTATTAGTGACGAACAGCTAGTTCTCTATGTTAGGTCTCTATGACTTTTTCCTTTGAAATCTTCAGAGTCAACATCAAGGTAGACATTGTTTGGCTATGGTTATTAATTAGCCCATAAACTCAACACATTTGTTATTTTTTCCTCTAGGGCATGTTGAAAGGCTTGGTCTAATATCTCACTGAATTAAAAATGGAACACAGTGGGAGGAGTGTGGGCTTTGGAGCTAGATATAGTGGGATATAAATCCTTGAGTAATTACTTATTAGATTTAGTGACCTATGATAAATTGCTTAAATCTCTGAGTCAGGATTTCCTCATTTTTAAAATGGTGAAAAATATTCTATCTTATAGAAATACTGTGGCGGTTAGGAATAAACTATCAAAAATACGAAGTGCTCTGTCTGCCTCATGAAGGAAGCGCAACAGTTAGAAATTGTTGTTAGTAAAACTTTGCTGGATTTTCTCAGAACCTCTCAACAATTTCAGTTCTTCTTTATTGTAAAGCTGGCTTCTTAAAAATATTATTTTAAAAAGCTATAATTTTTTAAATTGTAGAAACACTATCAAGGGGACCTGTTTAATGTGATAAAAGATTTCTGTCAGAAGCATAGAGCAGACTTAGTTAATGGTGGTTCCTTGAAAACATGGAGCAAAACAGGGATGGCCACACTAATGTTGCTATTGAGCATTTTTCTGGAGGTCTCAGCCAATGCAATGTAGTATCTAAAAAAGTTGAAGAAGTATCCTGTGAAAATAATTTGACCATCTCTTTTAAAAGATCAAGAAAATCCAACTACAAATTATTAGGTCAAATAAAAGGCCTCAATCAGAGGTAGAAAAAATAACTGTCCAAGGCACCTGAGTGGCTCAGTAGGTTAAGAGTCTGCCTTTGGCTCAGGTCATGATCCCAGGGTCCTGGGATCAAGTCCCACACTGGGCTCCTTGCTCAGCAGAGAGCTGCTTCTCCCTCTGCATCCCGCCCCCACTAATTCTCTCTCTCTCAAATAAATAAATAAAATCTTTTAAAAAATAGCTGTCTTAAACATTGGAAATTAATGAGTATAATAGAGGAACATACATTCCAGGGAGTTTTTTTTTTTAAATTGATAAGTTACTAATGAAGAACTTCAAAACTGATAAAAAAGGAACCGTAAAACTAAATTAAAGAGCAGAAAAACAATGTTTAAATAAGAAAGGAAATACATTATGTTTTTAATGCAAAGCTTCAGTGTTATATAGATGTCAATTTTCTTCAAACTGATCTATAAATTCAAAGCAATACCAATAAAGAATAATGAAACATGATAAGCTGAGTCTGAAATATATGGAAAATAGATATTTCACAACTTTAGAAAAAAGAGTTTTGAAAAAGACAATGTATGCCATGGTATACTTCTTATTCTACTAGGTGTTAAAATATCTACTGAAGCTGTAGTAATAAAGACAGGGTGGTATTTGTGCAAAAATCACCAAATATATGAATGAAGTTGAGTAAAGTTTCAAAAACTAAGCCCAAATATTTATTGAGCACAGTTTTGATTTAGACATGTTGAGTTTCAGGTCCTTATTAGACATCGTTGTGGAAGTGTCAAGCGGGAAGAGAATGAATGGAATCGAGAGTTCTGGGGAGAGGTCGGGGTGGACATGTAGATTAGGCAATCTTGGGCATATCAATATTATAGAAAGACATGGAATTAGTTGAGATCATCTGAAGAGCGAGTGTGAATAGAGAAGTAGTAAGGGCTCTGAAGTGAGTCCTGGAACAGCCTAAAGTTTAAAATGAAGGTAAAGAATTAGAGCCAACAGTAGTAACTAAAATGGAGTGGTCAGTGACATTGGAATAAAAACCAACAGTGTGGGCATGGAAGCCAAGGAAAGTAAGTGCTTCAAAAGAGAATAGTGAATTGTATGGGACATGCCAAAATGTCAAATAGGATGAGGATAGACAAGTGACCACTGCCTTTGGCAACATGGAAGTCATTAGTGGCCTTGACATGAGTGGTCTCAGTGCTTTGGTGAGGATGGACCACTGACAAGAGTATAATGAAGAAAGAATTCAGGTGAGAAGGTAAGAACACATCTATAGACAACAACAGGGAAAATGACTCAGGTCAAAAAATGTTTTGGGAACTATGGTTCATTTAGGGAAAGAAAAGAATGTTTTTGTTCTATTTTAAATCAATCATCTAATATTGGACCAATGAATTAAAGATTTGAATACAAAAATTTGATCATATGAGAATATGTTTATTTCCTTGAAACAGAAAATTCTTTCTCCTATAAGCCTCAAAACACGGAAGTTATATAAAAATATTGATTAAACTGAGTGTAAGAAAATTAAAACCCATAGGATAAAAAGAATCATCATAATGATGTAAGTACTTGAGGAAAATATGGGATTAAGATCCAGATGATATAAAGGAATCAACAAGAAAATGACAGAAATTCAGGAGAAAAATAGGAGTTAAGATTGCCGTTATAAAGTCTCTGTCATAGGCGGAATTTTGTCTTCCCCCTCCCCCATCCCCAGATTATATTGTTGAAAGTCCTAATCTCCAGTGACTCAGAATGTGACTGTATTTGGAGATAGGGTCTTTAAAGAGGTAATTTAGGTCACGTGGGTGGCCCTGATCCAGTATGACTATTGTCCTTCTACAAAGAGGAGATTAAGATTGCAGACATGCGCATGCACAGAGGAAAGACCACGTGAGGACATGGCACAAAGAGGACCATCTGCAACCTGGGAAGAGGACACTCACTGCAAACCGACCCTGCCAATACTTTGATCTTGGACTTCTAGCCTCCACACTGTGAGAAAATAAAATTCTGTGGTTTAAGCCGCCTAGTTGGTGGCATTTTGTTATAGCAGCCAAGCAAACAAACAGAGGAGCCAGGACTGACTTCTAATGCCACACATTTAAATATTTAGCTATATTTCTACAATGTCTGTGGTAAAAAAAAAAAAGAGCCCCTGATATTCTTGCACCTCAGTATCCTCATGTGATACTTGAAAGTATCCTGGTGAGGATCAACATAGATGGCAAATGTACTTTGGACTCATCTATTTCAACATATATTTAGTCAGTACCTGCTGTGTACAGTATACTATGGAGACATAAAGGTAAATCATACACAGCTTTTTTAGCCCTCAAGAAAAACTCCCAAGTATTTATGCTAATGCAAGTTATCATTAACGTGAATGTTACAGCAACCAATGATCATGATGTACTGCATGCTGTTCTTAAATGAGCTCATTTGCCGTTGAATTTTCATTATCAATTCAGGCCATATTCAGAATCATTCTTAAATATAGAAACTACTTCCCGCCCACTCTCTCTTGGAAATGCAGCTCAAAACAAATTTCTTTCATTGCAAGCTTACAGAAATGGTGGGGAGCATTCTGATGAATGGAGAACATATTGTTACTCTAACCTTTCATTACAAACCAAGAGGGGGAAATGCTTTAAATCATTTCAGTTTTATAAACTGTAAGACACATGGGGAATCAAAACATCCCATTGATAAAGTGATGCCTGGTCTTCAACATCAACAGTATTACTCATTGTAATCTGTTTATATTACTCATTATTGCTTTACTTAGACGCCAAGAAGATGCTTGAATCCTTTCAGAATTATTTTGCCCACTTTTAAGGGAAAAATCCCTGAACAGGATTAGACTAAAAAGTTGTTGATTGAATAAATATGAATCAGACTTTGAGCTCCGGTCAAATTTTGATTTAGGTCAAAGGATTCCAAACTCCAAAGCCATCCCTTGGCCCCTTTCATTGCTTTGTCAGGCAAGTGCCATTAATTTTCCTCTTGCTTATTTTTTTTTTTTAAAGGGGAGAGGCTGTGTATCTTGTTCTTTTGATCATATATGCCATCATCATATTTATACAGGAAACACTAAATGGCTAAAGAGTGCTAAATAATTTTATTAGTGTTTGTGGTCAGCAGAATTTTGGCCCCCATGACCTTTGCCCTCTGTCATAACACTTACTAATGTTACATTAGATGGCAAAACACTAATACAATGAAGGTCACTAATCAGAGGACCATAAAGTAGGGAGACGAGCCTCAATTCCCCAGGTGGGCCCAATGTAATCTTGTGGGTCCTTGCAAGTCAAGAGGCGTGACGAGGAGCTGTGAGGACTCAACTGGCTCTTGCTAGCTTGAAGATGGAGGGAGCCAAGTGGAAAGTTTGAGTAGGAAATGATTTTTGCCAATGCCTTGAATGTACCTGGAAACAGATTTTTCCACAGAGCTTCCAGAAAAGAACACAGCCCTGCCAACGCTTTGATTTCAGCCATGTGAGATCCTCACCAGAAAAATCCAGCCATACTGTGCTGCCTTCTGACCTCCAGAACCTTGTGCCAATAAATGGCAGATGTTCTTGGAGCCTTAAGTTTGTGGTAATTTAAGGTAGCAATAGAAAACTAATACAGGGGTGGAAACATTACTAAAGAAACTGTCATTCACATACAAAACCCACAACTTGAGAATAATGTCCCCTCGAGCAGTTTTGCCCATGTCGTTTTCCTTCACGTGTCCACTGACCCCCATTTGCCCCTATGCCCATGCACACTGGGCTTGCTTCCTGAAGTCCACCACTACCAGTTGTCCCTGTCATTGAATTAGTTGTGACACTCATTTTTTGTAGATAGGAAATACGGACAGGATCTGTGGCTTGTGCCTTGTCTCAGTTCGATAAATCTGGAATAAAATTCATGTGGGACTTAATTTCTTATTTCTTATGGGTTGTCATAAAATCTTCTGGGTTCACAGTAATTAACTTGGAAAAGGCAAGAATATCTGGACCATATTAAAATATGAAGCTTTGCGGGCACCTGGGTGACTCAGTTGGTTAAGCATCTGCCTTCAGCTGAGGTCATGATCTCTGGGTCCTGGGCTCCCTGCTCAGTGGGGAACCTGCATCTCCCTCTCCCTCTGCCCCTCTCCTCCCCCCCGCACCCCCTCGTTTAAATCCTTGAGGGGTACAACATAACATGGGTTCTGTGTCCGAAGGCCTTAGCAGGAAGGTTGCTTTGGAATTTGGCATGAATCATGTCACTGTTTCCATGAGCATGAGTTACCTTTCCTCAAACTACTCTGGTTTCGTTGGGTTCGCCACCAGGAATCATCTTTTCCTTTGTACACATGAGTACTCTCTTGCCTACATGGAATTCGGTTTCATCTCGAGTATAAACACTTCCAGAGACTTTACTTAGAGCCAACAGAAATAGCCTCAGACTACAGTGTTCCAGACATATTTGTCATTTTAGAAGTTCTGTTCCAAGCAGGGCTCGACAGGCTCCAAGATAGCCTTTTAATCTTATTTTAAAATGTTAAGTTAACTTCACGTAAGTTTGGAGAAAGAGCTATATTGGTGGTGTGGTGGCGGGGGGAGGGTGGATAGGTAGAGGGAGTTGAGGCTGATGGGTGGGGACAGGGTACTGGGAAGAATTGAAAGACATTGCCAAAATGAAAAAAAATATATATGTATGGAAAATATCAAGAACATGTGTAATATAAGCTGCCAGGTGATGCTACCTCTGAGGGTCCAGGGAACACAGTTTGAGAACCTTGGACTACAGCCAATTTTGGTGGCATGGTTGGGGGTGGGGGGTCTCTTCAAACATCAGCATGCATAAGGCAGAAGGCCAGGTGTTATCTTTCCTCTGTCTACAAATACCCACTTTCTAGTAGGTAGACAGATTTTCTGTTACTTTTAGTTCTGGTATTGTGTTAAAATTTTTAATATATATTTTTTCTTTTTTCTTTTTTTTTTTTTAAAGATTTTATTTATTTATTTGACAGAGAGAGAGACAGCGAGATCAGGAACACAAGCAGGGGGAGTGGGAGAGCGAGAAGCAGGCTTCCTGCCAAGCAGGGAGCCCGATGTGGGACTCGATCCCAGGACCCTGGGATCATGACCTGAGCCGAAGGCAGACGCTTAACAACTGAGCCACCCAGGCGCCCAATATATATTTTTTTCTATGTCTACCTAAGAACTTGACTTGGAATTTGGGAAAGAATACAATGAGGGTTTTTAAAGTCTTCATGTTCCTTGATTTTTGCTTCCTTGAAAAAAAATAATAAAACTACTAGTTAGCTTTCTCAACCTTGCTGGGCAAGCTACTTCCAAATACCATATCCCCTGGTCTCCTCATAGGGGGAAGAAAATTCCGTCTGTCAGAAAACATGTGTTTGGCAATAGCTTGCCAGCTGCAGGGTGGAAAGGCAGTGACGCGGGTATGTTCAGCAAGCTGAAGACTTTGTCTGAGAAAGAGACAGATTATCTGATTGCCCTGCAATCTCCCTTTCAGAACTGGCTGACAGAGCTGGAGATCTTTGCTATCATCTTCTCAGCTGCCATCCACGACTATGAGCACACTGGAACCACCAACAATTTCCACATTCAGACACGGTGAGGATGCTGGATGTTTGCGAGGAGGCAGGAGGGGGTAGGGGTAGAGTTTGAGAAGTCAGAAAGGTATCAGTCACCTTTCTTTTGCATGGTTTACTCTATTTTGCGTTTCTGAAGAAATGAACTTTTTAACAAGACATCAACGGGGTCAGCTCCAGTCAAGATTTAGAGTTTGAGAAGTCATCTGCTCCCAATGCTCATATGTTATTCACATCAAATATGGATATCCTTTTCTTCTCTATTGGAATGCTAGCTATTTGTTTCCTTATATATGTATCGTGCATACTCTATTTCTACTAGGTGATAGAACAGTTGGCAAAAAGGTGCAGATGCCATGTAGACTGAATCAGTGAGGATGGGCCAGGATTGGGATGTTTCTGTCCACATGTCCAATACCTGAGCCTTCTTGCCCTGTGACCTCTGGGATTCTGGGGACACTCTTCTCATCCTTCCTGATTTCATCCCTGCTCTTTTTTGGTGCTTGCATTGCTCCCTGGCAGAGGGCTTGGGGAGCTAGGTTGTCTCATGCAGACTGCCTTCACCATAGATAATCTTTGTACCCACTATGATGAACTTCAGAGGTAAACACAGATCTCTGTGGGGGGAATTAAGTATGGGTCCAAGTGCCCAACTCTGAACCTCTTGACTATAACAGACATCACTCATCAATTTTCTTTAAACCAAGCTTCGTATTTATCTTTAGTGTTCCTCTCAGCACAGAATTCCAGGCAAGCAGTACCAGTCACTTGTCTTTTCCATTTAGGGTGAAACTTTGTCCTGTCCTAGCCTAAGAACTTACCTTCTCTTAAGACAATTCTATGAAACTGGAGAGACTCTGATAGTAGGGTTAATTGGGCCTTGACGTAGTAATCAAAAGAAGTTAGAATTTGGGGAAAGATGGCATGGCTAAGAGGAAGAATGTAGCAGGGAGAGATGAGAATTTAAATAAATACTTGCGGTTTCATTTGAAAAAAGCAGGTGCACACGCCAGATAGGTTTGTGTTCATTAAATCAATCTACATGTATTTAATGAACCCAACACTTAATTATGGGGTACACAAAAGAAGACAGTATTGTCTGATCTCTGTTCAGAAGGGGAATTTCAATAGCATGGCAGCAGACAAAAGGATGTAAGCCGCCAGCTTCATTGTCTACCTCCCGCTTCCTCACACAGAAGAGCCTCAGCTGCTGGGAAGCCGCCTTTTGTGGTTCTGTTGCAAGGGCTTTAAATACAGGGAATTCCACAGAGCAGCTCTGTTTAGTGGATATCTGTGAGTGAAATCTTTGCTCTGAGGACAGAGGCTGTGGTGAATAGCACCTGCTGACGGAAGAGAGGTGGGTGGAGCAACTGTACATGGGTCTTTGCTGGAGACCAATATCAAAACCCATCTTAACTCAGAGGAAATGGCTTAATTACAGCAGCTGGAAAAGAGCTTAATGTCACAAAATATACATCAGTTGGAGCCTGACTTAACAGATACGTGATCAGATATTTCACCACAGGGTTTGCGTGTTTTGTGTTATCTCCATAGGAGTGAGGAAATTCCAGTGGATTCAGTTACGCTTGCTTTGGAATAAAATTTAAGCATTGGTCTTCTTTAATAGAACTTTATTCAAAGCATCTCAGCCCGTGTGAGCCCTATACAGAAAACTAAATCCGTAACCAGATTCTTTGTCCTTTGATGGTATGTTAAGCCTAACATTTTAAAGGTATGCTAGGTATATCCCAAAAATTGGCCAATGACAGGCACAAGTTACGGTGGGGACCAGTGGCCGAACTGTCAGAAGACCTTCCTTTATCCCAACCCCGCCACGTACGCACTGTGGGGCTCTGTGAAGTCATTTTACATCACTGAGACCCAGCTTCCTTGATGAGAAACAAATAAGCTGTAATAATCTAAGTTTTCATTAAATTGAAGATATTGAAATAGTGTACAGCTCTGTGTTTGGTGCAGTGGTCTGTGAGGAAGTGATTAGCAACTGTCCTATAATCCTTATATTCTTCACCCTCAATCTTACACATATGGCCTCCACATGGCAAAATGTTAAGGTCAAGGTACTACCAGAGGAACTTGGCAAACTGTACCTACCAGGTGGTATGTGTTCAGAGAATTGTAACGATAATAAATAAATTCTCTCATTGAATAAAATTTTTAAAAAACTTAAAGGCATTCCAGAAAATACAAGGAAGTTTGAGTTGACCCATGTTTTATGAAATCTCCTATGCTACTAGTAGAAATCATTGACATCTGGTTATGGAACGGCTTTCAGAGAGTTCTCAGGTTGGATATCACATATTTCATGTTAACATATTGACATTAAACTACCCTACATATATCTACCGATAATTTGTAGTGTTGGTTTTAGCTTATTGGTTGACATAAGTGGCATATGGGGGCAAAGATAATTGTTGAACATAGGGAAAAAGATGGTGTATTCTAGCTTGAGAGAGTCACCTGAAAAATCTCAACTGTTTAACATCCTAAATTATTTTGCTTGGCTTTCTGTTCAGGTCTGACCCTGCTATTCTGTACAACGATAAGTCTGTATTAGAAAATCACCATTTAAGTGCAGCTTATCGCCTTCTGCAAGAAGATGAGGAAATGAATATTTTGATCAACCTCTCAAAGGATGACTGGAGGTAAGGATGAGACAGGAGAGAGATTTGGAGCCTAGGAAAGGAACCATGAGGAGAGATGAAGTATGCCGCTTTTGGAGAAATAATACCACTTGAACTGTTTATGGCACCCTTTCTCTCACCTCCTTTCTCTTCATCCCCTGTCTCCTTCCCTCTCTCCTCCCAACTCGTTCTCTCCCTTTTCTCTCTCTCTCCCTTGCCTTCTCTCTCTCTCTCTTTTTTTTTAACACAAATATTAGAATATATTATAGGCACTTTGGAAATACTTGCTGCTTCTTACCTTAGGAAACTTGTGTTGCTCTTGTCTTAGCTTCTTAAATCTGAGTTTTTTTGTTTTAGCATTTGTTTTTCGCCTTCCATTTGATTTGAACTTCTTTTGAAAATCTTTCAAAACTGCGCTAAGGAAATTATTTTGACACTCAAAAATTATTTCTAATTCTGTTGCGTAAATGACATTGTGTGTTTTTGAATGAATTTCGGCACACCTGTGTTTGAATATGGGCACAATTACTAGTTGTATGGCATTTAGGAAGTTACTTAACCCCTTCACACTGTTGTAAAATTTAATTTCTAGAAAATAGATAATAAAATTTACCTCTTGGTTTGGTCAATGTTATAATAAATGATATAATCCATTTAAAATGTTTAACACACATTGTGATGTATATAGCAAGCCTGCAAGTCTTTGTAGCTATAAATACAGATCAAGGTGTTTCGAAAATTAGAGGCAAAACCATTTAAATCCTTACAGAGTTCTGAATCTACTGCGTTGCAAATAGTACTTATATTTTAATTAAATGATCAGCTGTTCATTGAATATCTTTGTGCTAGCCATTATGTAAAGATTCAGAGAAATAAGCCATTCTGAGTGATAATGTACATTCCACATGTCATATTCCTAATTAATGATTTCCTTAATCCTTAACCTTCACTTATTCCTCATAAAAAAAAGCCCACCTAAAAAGCTCAAGTTGATTAGAAATGTCACCACTAATTAACCGATTTTGCTTAGAAGTGGCAAAGAATATAAGCGAATTTTTACTTTCCATTTTTTTACTTCCATGCTTCTCTCTCCACGGGGTGTCCCTGAAAGGGAGTTTCGGACCTTGGTAATTGAGATGGTGATGGCCACGGACATGTCCTGTCATTTCCAACAAATCAAAGCAATGAAGACTGCTCTGCAACAGCCAGAAGCGTGAGTGGACCTGTGACATCATGTGTTTTTATAGGTGTTTGAACTGGTACTTGTGCGTGTTGTTGCACCTTCTTCGGAGAGCTTCACTGAATGGTCTCATGAAGTGGGGCTGGTGGAGGAGAGAGCATGGCAGGTGTACATATCACAGACAGATTTTCATCAGGGTTGAAATAAATAATAGGGCCAGTAACAATTTGCCCCCAGGTAAGAATTTAAAAGAATTCTTTGTGGGAAACTAAGTAATCAAAGATTCACTCAGTACAGGGGCAACAAAAGTCAGTGAGTGACTCTTAGATTCTTGTTGTCTTTTTAAATGATGCAGTCATTCCAGAAGTCATTTGGAGTCTGTTTATGAGGTGTCCAGTTCAATAAGCATGGAGACTAAGCTGATGAATATCCCAGCTGTAGGATGAAATGATGCTTTCCCCCCAGTTCAGCTGACATAGGGTTTGAGATGGGAGAATGGAAGAGATGAAGAAATTAATGATTGTTAAAAACTCTTATTGAGGTTCTGAAAGTTTGGTCATCACATGTTTGGGTCCTTTGGGTTTATAGAATTGAAAAGCCGAAAGCATTATCCCTGATGTTGCACACGGCGGACATTAGCCATCCTGCAAAAGCATGGGAGCTCCATCATCGCTGGACAATGTCACTCCTGGAGGAATTCTTCAGACAGGTATCTTGTTGTGCTACTCCTCAGGGCCGTCAGCACTAGATAGTTTCTGAGTTTTATATTTCAGCAATGCTATAATAAGACAATTGGCATTACAATAATTTTCTTTGGGGAGGAAGGGTTCATAGCTTTTTTTTTTCTTTTTTTAAAAAATTTCCTGGCCTCTTGCTTATGTGATGTTTGACTCTTACCTAAATTTTGGTTCTCAGAACATCATGGTATTTCTGTCCTATGCATTTCTGTTTGGAAAAAATAAATCCTTTTTGTCAGTTTTTTGTCAAAATATCATCTGGATACTTTCCCTTTTACTCCTCATTCTAATGGGTTGACCAAATTTTGGTTGCTTTTACATCATTGTGTGGGATTAAGATGCTAATCTTTAACTCATAATGATCTGTTACAGTAGATTGGGTTGTTTCTTTTGAGCAGATAAGCCATGTTGTCAAATTCCAAAGTGAGGTGTGGCAGTTTGTGGTCAGGAAATCACTAGAAGCTATTGTTTCAATTATATTTAAAAATACTACATCCTAAGACACAGGGTTGTGTTTTCTACAAGGGTAGCCAGAGTCTTTAGTGAGTAGGCAGTGCTTGAAAATTAAATTTAAAAAAAGGTACACAGAAGTAGAGAAATCGGAAAATTAATACATAGTATCAAAACTGACGTCTTCTCAAGAAGAGCTGCCATTAAAACAACTGCTTCAAGGGCGCCTGGGTGGCTCAGTTGGTTAAGCGACTGCCTTCGGCTCAGGTCATGATCCTGGAGTCCCAGGATCGAGTCCCGCATCGGGCTCCC